AATAATAATAATAATAACAATACACTTTTTATATCACATTAAAGTGCAGGACTGGAAAATGACAATATTTTATTTTACACAGATCATCAACACAACACAAAGTGGACAGAAACAGAATAAAACTCATTAAAGAGTCTCGTTAGTGTTTCCAAAAATCACCAACTCCAGGTTGGCTGGAAATAAATCTTCTAATTTCACCGACGTAGATGAGAAAAACAGCATTTTCAGTCGGACAGACTGGCTGTGAAACCAAACCACAGAGAGGCTGCGACAACACAGGCAGAGGGAGAGAGACACCATGTGACTCCGTGTAGAGAATATGTGAATCCAGTAAAAAACAACAGCAGCCTCTGAACCTGACTGTCAGAGCTTAATCCAGGTGCATTGTGGGAAATGTAGGAGTCACTACCAAACTGAATTAACATCAGACCTGAAAACTGTGAAAAGCTGTGACACATCTGGACTGCATTTTATCTCTTCTTGACCTCAGCTGTGTGTGTGTGTGTGTGTGTGTGTGTGTGTGTGTCAGATGGCATCACAGGATGAAGAACAGAGCACCAGCTGTTACACACACACACACACACACACACAACCTCCATGACTTGTCATAAGTATGCAAAATCACACATTTTGTCTCAGACTATGAAAAGGCGATCAGTGTGTGTGTGTGTGTGTGTGTGTGTGTGTGTGATAATAGCTGTTAATTAGCTCCGTGTTCAAACCGGCCGCGGACGCTAATTAGCAGAAAACCTGTCCAGCATTTGGTGTTAATTAGACCGACAGGCCAGAACGCATCTGACCACACACACACACACACAGTTAAACACACACACTGTTTAGTTTAATTCATAAGAATATTTTAGTTTGTTCAAACTGAACTTAACTTTAATGAAACACCTTTATTAACACACACACTAACACACACACACACACACACACACAACACACGTACACACACACACACACACTAACACATAAACACACTAACACTCACACACGCTAACACACACACACACACACTAACACACACAGTTAATGACATCATGTTTTCATGTGTGCATTTTTAGTTAGTAATAAAAAAACAATAAGTAAATATTCACCATTAATATCAAATTTGATGTAACTTCTAACTGAAGGTAGAAACTGTCTGTGGTTCTGAAGGTACAGACTGTCTGTGGTTCTGAAGGTACAGACTGTCTGTGGTTTTTCAGAGGTTGTTGTTAACAATGCGGCTCGTTGAGGATAATTTTCTTATTAAAACCAATTAACATGAAGAACATGTTTAGAACATGTTTAGAACGCTGAGAACACGCTGAGAACAAGCAGACAGTTACAGCAGAGGTCAGAGGTTGACACCAACAGATTCATCATGCTAATCATGAGCCTGTAAACACGCAGTCAGCTGGCACAGACAGACAAAGAGACAGACAGACAGACAGACAGACAGACAGACAGACCTTGCTGTTGACCTCTGCAGTCTAACACACAATCTGACAAAAACTGTTTAACAACAGAAAGAACTCACAGCTTCTCTTAATACAGACTGTCTGTAATATAAACTATATTCTATATGTACAATCAATAATCTATAATCAATAAACAGTGTGTATAAAATCTCAGGGCTATGTTTATATTTCAAAAATCAATAATCTTATCATAAATAGTGTAATAGAACTCTAGAGCTATGTTTATATGCATCAATAAATCGTATAATCAATAAACAGTGTATAAACTCTAGAGCTATGTTCTATATTCAATCAATAATCTATAATCAATAAACAGTGTATAAACTCTAGGGCTATGTTCTATATGGAGTTATTGATGATCTGATGTGCAGTATTTATTAGCAATATTTGATTAATGGTTTTGGAGGTGAACTATTGATTGTTCATTAGCTCATTGTTTAGCTGAGGGCAGATCCCTCAGACTATAAAGTAACTCTGGTTCATGTCTCTGGGTCGGACTTTAATGTAACCAACAAACATCTGGTGGGCCAGGACCAATCAGAATCATTATAACGACCATTATTCTGAGACAGAGAGAGAGAGGGGGGGAGAGAGAGAGAGACAGAGAGACACAGAGAGACACAGAGAGAGACAG